ATCCAAGGAGACTCCACTTGAGGAGCATGGCGCATGACGTTGCGGTTCCTGGCCTCTTGAGTGGTTTAAGCATGAGCACTGACAGTAGTAGCAGCTCGATCTCTCGAGTTGCTTCTCTCGTGGTAACGCACAGGTGCTCCACCACTATCACTACCACCAGGACCACGCGTCCTAGTGTACGATGAACTTGCGTGAGACGAGGGTTCGTCAGAAGAATTGCCCGACTCAAAGATCTCGGACATGATAGCGCCATGTTCCCCGGAGCCAGTCAAACTGGCTCTGGCAGTGTCCGCCCCGGGTTATTCGGAGACAGGAGGCGCCTTCGAGTCGAATGCATCATCCGACTCTCCAGAAAAGATGGGCGCTATTTCAGGCTCATACACATTGCGAGTCGCAACACCCGCTGGAGTCGCAGCAGGTGTATCTGTCGCACGTGTTGACTCGCCACGCCAACTAGTTGCAACAGGCACTGCCCGTTGCTAGCTTGCAACAACAGCCGCCTTCATGACTGCTTTGGCAGCGTACCACGTGAACTTTGACACCATGCGATGAATTGGAAAATGAGTTATAAGTCGATCAACAAGTGCTCTTCTTTATCAGAGTGATCTAACGGTGATCACCCTTTCCCCGATCAATTAAATTCAATCAACGGAGTAATTGATGGTTAGGGGTGATGTAACGGAGTACCCTCTTGCATGATATTGACAACAAACGGTGTCAATAGGGAGGTTTTCTAGCGTGACAATTCCCTGCCACTATTATCCGAGATGGATAATTTTGAAGTAATATTAACCCCTTAAAAAATAAAAATACGCTGCTCCTAGATTGGATGATCTAAGACATAACAACCATAGATTACCATCAATCGCTGCTTGAAGCGCGTAATGGATGGCGAGCAGATTGTCGTCATACGACAACGTAGACTAATACAGCTGGATAACGACTGAAGTTGTATTGATAGCTGAACTATATTACATACAGTTCTCTTTTTACCTTTACTCAAACTAGCAGTTTGAGAAGATTGGCTTCCTCTGCATGTACATGTGTACGTGAAGTTTCGCGTCACTAAAACAAAGGGTACCTTGTCACAATGAATCCGGATACCCTATCTACGTATTCGTGAGCCCTTTATTGTCATTGTTTAATCCCTGGAATACGCTGCTGAAGTCTAGATACTTCTGCTAGAAGGTATCTAGTTGCTCCTTAATTGCTAGACACCTAGCACGGGTGTGCAAGTCGAGGTCTTAGTACACGCCATAATTGTGCGCTTTTACTTGTTACGCCACCTTCTACAGATTACAAATGTTGATCTGTCGCATGATGAGTCTGTGCTCGTATGATGTGCCAATTGTCATGGTGTTTCGCTCGACAGCGACAAATTTGTATGATCCTGCTCGCTCACAACGATCATTTATCTTTTTTTGTTGTAGTCGGAACTAACGATCGAAAGTGAAAAATTGAGTGCGCGCGCTTTTATTTATAGAGCCGCAAACATCTCCTTTGCTGTCGGATGGTTGACTTCAAAGAACTGACTCGACTCGGTTGATTTTTTTGGGCAGATCCTTTTGGGGGCTGCATGGTAATAGTGTGAATAACGGTGCATAGGACAAGTCGACATAGTTTCCACAGAAAAATTCTTTGTATCATGTAACCCTCACACCTTGTTTTGTTTTCAGGGGGTTAAAATAGTAAAGATGGAGGGCGAAAATATCATTACCCTAAATAATGCTCGGTCATCACCAGGACGCTTGCTCTTCCCCCACAGCACATCACCTCACAACACGTTAATGAGACATAGGTGAAAGTGTGTAAATCAATAAAAATCTTAGCATTGCATGACGATTATTCGACAAAGAATGCGTATACGAAGGACGAAGAAAGTGTTCTATAATGCAAGCTCTATTTACGAGAATTCAAGCAAATCTACACAGTTTTGATACAGTCATGCTGTTATTTAGCTAAACGTTAGGCTTTGTCATGTCTTTTCCACGTTTGGTGTGTAATCAGCGCCTTGGTAGGTAAAGAAATACTGTAGCAGTCACACATCAGTCGCTACCAGAGACCCAAAACGACAATAAAGAGCGACAGATACCTCCTTGTCAGTACTGGCAATCGTCGTGAGCACCAGCGGACATCACGTGCCGCTAGTTCATCATGATCGTTCAAAGTCGATTCACCGACAGCTAGCGATTTGACTAAGGTACGCTCGCCACCTGTAGTGTCCGCAGCTCCATTCGACCAATTTGCATACATTTATGCATACCTCACAAAAAAACGTGGATCGATAAACAAGTGGGCCGTCATATATTATTCTCTCAAGTTCCCTCACGAGTAAAAATCACTATCAGCACCATCCTAGGTTATAAGTCTCATCATCAGCACTAATTCCAAAATCAGCACTAGCCAATAACATAGATAGTATAGATCACCTTACTATTTTAAAAGTAAAGCTGTGACTATCGCGTTTGTAAAGGAGTACTAGACAGTTGGCGAATGCGATTTGCGATTCGACGCGATGTGGGATGCGTGAGCGAGACATGCGTGACGACAGGAACATGTGTGGCATGTTACATGATTCTTGCGTATGGTATGGTGAGGAACTGACACAGAGTCTACTTGTGTGCTCTACGACTTGCGACGTCGTGTCTTACGTAACAAGAGTAGGTGAGAGTTCGGCCCGTACGGTCCTACAAAAGTATTAAGGCCATCGAGACGCTGAAACTGGATACTTGCTCATGCCGAATCTGTTTATTATGTTGTTCAGGTCCCATACGATCGGATGGTGCGCTTGATACATTCATGCTGGAACAACACACTCGATTGGCTTGCGGAATAAAGCAGGACTTAATTTATGATGACGGTAGACAACAATGGTCACAAACAAAAAAGGAACTAGTCATTGATGTGGCTCACAAATTAACTGACGGTATTTATTGCTCTGTTTTGATGAAAGATGTATGCAAGGACACAGACGCGCGTCGAATTTGAATCAATCTTTGGTGTGCTGATTGCGAGGGATGTGGTCGCGGCCTCAACGTCCAACAAGTCACTTCAGGTGATTATATATAATACGAGGACGTGTGGATATCGTCTTAAGCTAGGCTTACACACTGTGTGTATGGTGTTTTATACTCTTGTTGTCATTGTAAAGTTTCTAACAGAATAGAACGAATAGTGAGTACGCAATGCCGTTTTCGGGCCAAGTAGCGGGATGTACAAAAGTCATGTCGATGAATTCGTACGTGGGCTTTTGTGATCTTTGTGATCTTTGGAAAGAAACTATCACTAAACAGCCCTTTTACTCTTAAACAGAGAAATGGAATAAATGCCTAGAGTGAGCATGTGATGCTGATACTGGATAAAAGCAATTGTAGAAGAGCTGCTGCACGTGACAGTGTAAAATCGGTTGCATGCTGGACATTTACTGCTGTATATATTGTGGTGTGTATTGTGTGTTATGCAGGTTCTTTTGTGAACTGAAAAGGGACAGCGGACTCAAGGTCATGGTCTAAGCTTTCTTTCGTTGTCCTGGACGATGTGGTGCGCTTACAACACAGAACAACTAATCGCTGTGAAGTATTGTGCTTAAAGCTGCTAAGTCACGCGAACTCTTCGCATTTGACGATATCAGCCATCAGTTACCAACCGAAAGCGCTAACAACAAGGACAAGAATAATATAATGTTAACTCCAGCCACGATGTCGTAATTAGCTTGTAAGATACACGTAAATTTTATCTATTGTTTTGCTCATTGTAATCGATTTCGTTCAACCTGTGTTTTTCAGGTTCGCATATAACCCTACTGTATCGTATTAACATAGATGTGAAGCCATTTTTTTGCTTAGAAGATGGCTTGTTGATTGCCAGGCAAGCGTCGGCTTAACTATCTTTTAAAGTGGAAATATAGTGCTCTGGAGCTGCACCCATCCGCTTTCTCTTCGTCAAACGAACCTCCCGTGGGCATCAATCCTGTGGACACGCATACGTCGTGCTGTTACGACCACTCTTTTTAAACTTTGCACTGCCGGTCCTGATTGAAATAGTTGTAACGGGGTGAATCGTTACATAACAATTTATAAGAAATTGTTTATAGAATATAACTATAAGAGTTATATTCTCAGAATATTGTCATAAGGACAAATAATCTGTAGCACTTACGAGTAGTTCCTAATTGGTTGATGTAGGCCATTATATCAACCAACGAAGACGCGCCAAGACCGACGCACGCAATGAGTGGTGAGCAGATAGTTGATATACACATCTGTATTTAGACATAGTCAGATGAGGATAAATAGTGATTCATTAACAGACATTAGCTATGATACATACAGTTCTACTTTTTACTTTAACCAAGTACTCGCTTCTTCTTACCGTCTTCCTCTGCACGTACCAGTGTACGTGAAGTTCCGAGGCACCGCCTTATTCTGTCGTCAGAATAAGTAGCTTGTACTGTCATCAGTACAAGCTTCAGGGTGCCCCGTTACAATAGTAATCTTTGACAAACTGGTTGCAGCAACACCGGACTGGAAAATTTGTCTATGAGCCATTTCAGTCGCTGCATCACTTGCACTTTAATCAATGGGCCCCCTTCCGCTTGACATCTTGATAAATCTTGCTGTTATTGAGCACTTGATCTCGTGGCGCTTATAGCATTAGATTGTTCTTGTGTTTGGGAGCACCAAGTAGTGTGATCTGCACTAAAATAGTTATTGGCAGGTGCTGATTTTTGGGACTGGTGCTGATAATGAGACTTTTGATCGTGGATGGGGCTGATAGTGAGATATGACTGTCCACTTTTGTAGAACCTGTGTGGCTAAACGAAGAGCGTGTGCGGCTCTTCCAAAACGGCCTGAATCTATCCTGGCCACCAAAACCAAGCACGTGGCAGCCTCCCATCTCCATTGTAAAAGCAGAATTTCCTCTGCAGACTTCTTCTAGCTCTTTTGCTCCATTCGCCCAGTCAGTCGCAAACATCAGAAAAAACACGCCACAACCACACAATGGGTGTCAAGCGCTTCTACCTGATAGTGTGTGCTGCCGTCTCGACATGTGTCGAAAGTTTCTTTGAGCTTTCTAGTAACACGAAGACAGTGGACTCCTATCGCCCGGCTCGACCCGACCCGTTCGTTCCTGACAATAAAAATGTCCGTGTCAGCCATTTGCGTCCCGCATCCCCGGATAAAGACGAGAGGGGCTTGATGGAGTTTGCTGGAGAAAAGATGCGCGATCTCCTCTACAAGATGATGGGTTCACAGCGTCCAGGTGCAAAGTTCATTGCCTCACTCATGGCGAGGTTGCATTTCCAACACTGGGCACGAAAGAAATACTCCCCGCATGATGTCGCTGAGGTTTTGAAGTTCCGCAACGATGAGAATCTCGTGAAGCTGGACGTTTTGGAACGGTACGTTGCTTACCTTGGTAAAAAAAAGAAGAACGCCGGGATAACCTTTCTGGACGCAGTGGTGAAAAGCTTTGGGGGCGAGGTGGAGTTTGCCCCAACATTGTTCAAGTATGCAACCCAGTACCCGGACAATGCTCAAATAGACGCGCTGCTGACAGCATTGTTAGCGAAATGGCAGCATGCTGGGAAACCATTTAAAGACGTGTTCGCACAGTTCAAGTTCAGAAAGGCGGGAGTCGCTGTCTTCTTAGACGAGAGCATCATTAAGCTGGAAGCCTACAGGAGTCAGTATATGCTTAAAACTGGAGTAACAGATGTGGAGACTTTGTTTACTCTACTAAAACAAGAGTTTCATAGCGAAGCCAATCTCGCCTTCCGTGCTGTGGACGCAATGGGATATGATGCAACTCAAAAGCAGGGAATACTGGTAATGCTTGACCTGTTTCAGGATTGGGAAGCAAGGCTCATGCTTCCGTCGTACCTCAAAAACGAGGTGTTTGCTGGAACGGACGAGACCGAAGCAGATACGGTCCAAGCGATTGTGCGCGAGTACAGGAGATTTATGAGCAAGAAGGAGAAGGTTGAGTAACGCGTTTGCACTGCTCATGTTTGTTGTGTTGCTGTGAAAGTAGATGTCATACATCTACTTTTCGAAATCACTCGCTGCTTCAACTATCTGATCAGTCCGGGCACCGTATATGTGAGAACGTGTGATTGAGGCCCACACGACATCAATGGCGGCGCACAATATACTTCTCGGGAGCAAACGCAGTTCTGATTATTGTGCGCCAAGACTTCTCTACGTCGAAGTACAAAAACTGCAAGGTACTCGACCGTTGGCCACAGCTCAACAGCTGCAAAGCTGCAAGACCACAGACAAACCATCGCAGATGCAACAACTATGAATGGACAAGAGGCGCGAGATTCTGGTCGAGCACCATGCTGCAGTCTAAAATTATGGGAACTAATGCGGCCCGGCCCTCGTAAAGGCTGTTCAAGCTGCTCAAAGTGTACGTTTGGAGTTGGCAAGTGTTAACATGCATACAGAGGCTGCAAGAAACAATCGTCAGAAGTGTTTTCATGCGGGACAAGCTTCGTACTAGTATCGCCTCTCATTGCTTCGAAAGTAGAGATTGACAAGACATTGGAACGCTGATCCGGAATGCCTCGATGAGAAACCCGGAATAGAGTCCATGGCACCGAACCATTGCACAACTTTTTCATTTCCAGTATACGATACAAGACGATAGTTGCTATGCAAGCAAAAAGTGTCATTTCTTAGGTGTCTCGCTGTTGTTGGATACTTGCCTGGAATGGCGAATGCTTCAGCTCTTCGGGAGCAACAGTCGGTACGACTGTCTTCTCTAGACTACCTGGAAAAAAGCATCCGTAAAGATGTCCACCAGTACTCCGAAAGCGAGCTGAGTTGTGCTTAACGGCTCATGGACCATCCGAGGCGTCTTTGCTTCAACTGGCCAGTGTGTCGTTGTTGATTGTTTGTCATGTCTGCTTCCATTCAAAGAGTAGGTGACCAACCTGCTGATACCATTTCTTCTCCTGGAGCCGTGATCAATGGTCATCATTACGCGGACCTTGTCTTTGAGCTCCTCTTTCTCCATTTCTTGCCATCTTGACCTTTCAAACCTGTTCTGGATCTCCACACTCGAAATGACACGTCTACCGAAACATCCACGATCGATGCAAGTGACCATCCAGCAAACACGTCGGAGGAATCCCATTGTGTCTATTGAACAGCGCGCTTGTTTTCTTGCCAGTATATGAGCTACAGGTAAAGAGAGGCGGCAAAAACGATGTCGCGCTTGAGATTCTTGCCTCCCTCGTCAAACTTCTTTTCAAGCTCGACGTCGCCAATCGAGTGAGCAGCCAGTGTAAGTTGGCGTAACAGCTCTTCCAAACGACGCAAACAACGAATGATTGTGCCCTCAAACGCGTCCGACATCTTGCAAATCTGCGAGAACTTGGCACCTTGACACCAAGCAATAACGACGTCCACCAGACTCGTGTTGAAAGCACCAGCGTACTCGTCCACATCAATTGTAATCTTGGCGTCCTGCATCACCCTCGCAATACGCTGAGCCGTCTCGCGCAGCTGACGAACAGGGACCTCTATGCTCTCAGCTTGCGGCGGCTTGTCGCTGTCCTTCTTTTTCTCCGTGTTGATCAAGCAGCTCAGCAACGCCACGGTGTCATTCACAGAGAGATCATTGAATTGACCGGTAAAGATCATTTCAGTCACCAACAGCTCATCGGTCGTTGAGACCTCACACGCCGTACGACCCTTGCGCTGAATCACACCCTCTGTATCAACAAACTCAAGTCGTCGCAGAACTCGACGACGGCGACGCAGATCGTCACGCAGCACAAGCGACTTGGCTTCTGTGATCTTCCGCTCAAGCTCCCGTATCTTTGCCTCACACTCAATCTTGAGATTGTATAGCGCGAACCGTGTCTCCTTGTCATCGGCGCGATGGAACGTCGAGCTTTCAAGCTTCTTTTCAGCTTCAATTGTCTTGTCGATGACACGCGAAAACTGTTCGTCCTGGATATCCATGTCTTCACGCGGGTCCAGCAGTGGCACTCCCTGCGGAAATCGACGCAGTACCTCTTTCACTGACTTCCCCACTGCCTGACGACTATCGACTGTGCGCAGGTCCTTCGGAATGTACACGCGCAGGGATGAGACGAGGTCAAGCATCTCCAACGGCACCGGACAGATCTTCATTTCGTAGGCGGATGATGACAAGCCCATCATATTTAACGGCGCTGGTGTCGGCAGCTCCGATGCGGTGCTCCCATTCGTGGCATCATTTGACTTTGTAGTGCCGTTGGTCGCTACGCAATTCAACAGCACATGCACAATCGTGTCAAGAGCTGCTGAAGTCGAATCGGTGGCACTCTTGGTCGTAAAGTTCACAATAATCCCCCAATCCCACTCGGTATTAGTCGAGTTGTCGTCGCTGTTCGGACAGTAGAGTTTTACGAGACGACCACCGTTCAGAAAGCGAACAACATGGTCGGGCTTGTTGCGGATCATCAAGAATTCTTCTTTGAGTCGCACAAGAGATCGGGACAGGTAGTAGTACTGCGCAACTTCTTCCTCATTCTTGATCACAATTTGACCCTTCTCTTCCTTTGCACGCTCAAGAGCTTCCTCTAGCGCTGGAGCAGCTTGCTCGTTCTGAAACTGATGAAACGACTGCTTGATCATGTACTCTGGGCCAGCGTCTTCCACACGCATCAAGTTCAACAACATATTGTATCCGAGGTGGAAAGTACTGATAAGAGGATCCGCTTGGCCGTACAGAATGCCTTTAGCTACCTGCGGTTCCATCTGCATGCTCAGCATCTGAATGACGATACCACGTGCATCAAGCGAACGACGACCAGCTCGTCCAGACATCTGAATGTACTCACCAGCGGTGATCCACCTGAAGCCCTTGCCATCGTACTTTCGGCAGTTGGTAAACACCACAGTCTTCGCAGGCATGTTCAGACCCATCGAGAAAGTCTCCGTGGCAAAGAGACATTTCAACAAGCCTTCACTAAACAAGATCTCAATCACTTCCTTCAAAATAGGCAGTAAACCACCGTGGTGAATACCAATACCGCGACGAAGTAGTGGCAAGATCGAGTCCACCTGCGGTAGCGCGCGATCATCGTCCGACAGTGAGTCCATGGCATTCTTGAAAAGCTGGTCAATCGACTGCTTCTCTTCCTCCGTGTTAAAGTCAAGCTTGGACATCGACAGCGCGTACGACTCGCACTCGCGCTTGCTGAACGAGAAAATGATTACTGGGTCATACTGGCGTTCCATAATGAGTTTCACAATGCGAAACACGTCTGAGCCTACTTTCTTCTTCGGATTCGTCTTCTGCGCTTTGCGTCGCTTCGTGTTGCTGCCATAAGACGCTAGTTCTGACGTTGCTTCATCCGCTGACGCTGCCAGTGTTGCAATGGCCTTTTGGAAATTATCTTCACGAAACTTTCCCTTTTCGTCCACCACCAAATGCAGTCCACTTCCACCTGCAGGAAAAAGGTAGTGCTGCAAAGGTGTTGGACGGTAGTCCGTGTACACGACGTGACACGGTTGGTGGTGAATATGACAGATCCATCCCGCAAACTCTTTCGAGTTTGGGATCGTTGCCGAGAGAAAGACAAAACGCACTTTGTGCGGCAGCAAGATAATGCTCTCCTCCCAGACAACACCCCGTTCCTTGTCTCGCATGTAATGGATTTCATCGTAAATGACCCACGCGACTTCACGCATGACTTCAGATCCCCGATAGAGCATACTCCGAAGAATCTCCGTCGTCATGATGAGACAAGTGGCTGACGGGTTGATCGTAATATCGCCCGTCATCAGACCCACGTCACCAAACTCTTCTTCCAAGTCCCGGTACTTTTGATTACTCAGCGCTTTGATTGGCGACGTGTAAATCACGCGCTGCTTGTCCCGTAGAGACTTGGCAATAGCGTACTCAGCGACCGCTGTCTTGCCTGCCGACGTGTGAGCAGATACGAGCACTGACTCTCCAGCTTCAATAAAGTCCACTGCTTGTTGCTGGAATGGGTCTAAAGTAAAAGGGTACGTTTTCGCAGGATTCTTGCCAGCAGCTCCAGTAGTCGCTTGGATTTTGTACTCGGGTGGGTACACGGAGAATGAAATGAGGTTCTTCTGTTGCGTACCAGTGGACACGACACCACATGACGCCGCTGGGTTGTCACTGTCTTTAATGACTGAAGCATCAATGCGTTTGCCTTCTACGACTTGGAGCGTCGTCGAGGCAAGACGCGCTTCCTGTCGCAGTTCAAGTTGTTGCGGTTTTTTCACTGGCGGAGACGGCGCTCGGTCATCTTCGGCGGTGGATGCAGGAGCTTCTTTTCGCTTGGATGAGGCACTAGCAGCGGCTTGTTCCGTGGGCGTCAGCGTCGCGGACGAATCGTCAAAGGCACTGAAGAGATCGAGGTCGGGGTCGTGGTCGGCCATTGAAAAAGGTGTGAAGAGATCAATTGATCAATGGGTACATAAATAACTGGCTGGCGCGATGGTCAGTGTGTGTTCCACACATTTGACGAGGAAGGCAGCCAGGGTAGCGACAACGAGCTATAGGAACTAAACTGGAATGACGGCTGGGAGTGGTCCTATAGGACCGCATCGGTCCTGACCAAATTGTTTGCCCTGATAAAGTATCCGTATACTTTGGTACGTTTTCGTAAGTTCAAGAAGCAACGGAGTTTCGCTGGTGAAACGATTTGGCGGTAACTCCATAGATTTTGTAATGGATCCAGCGGATTGGCAAGAATGGCCACATGCTTTTGTGGAGACGGAAGACGGTATCCGCATGCATTTCGTAGATGTAGGACCTAAAGATGGTCTACCTGTCGTGATGGTGCATGGGTGGCCGGATTTATGGTTCGGATGGCGAGTACGTCCAGCTTCAATGAGTGTGTTTTTACTTTACAATACAACGTTTATACTGGATTTCCATCTCTCTTTTTGCAGTACCAGATTCGAGCGCTTCAATCCACGTATCGACTGATCGTGCCAGGTCCAGTTCAATTTGCAGCAAATTATCGAATTTTTATTTCGGTATATAGGCTGCAAACGTAATCGCACAACCCTAACAATGGTGCTGATTAACAGATGTTCGTGGATTTGGTCAAAGTTCGACCCCGCAAAGTGTTACGTCCTACGGTGCCAAGAACATTTCCCGGGATCTGGTGACTCTGCTGGGTCCGGCGTTCTCTCAAATTTTATACCATTCCAAGCAATGTCATTAAACGTTGTGTGTGTGATGTGATGCTCTAAAAAATGTAGACAAATTGGAGATCCCCAAGGCGGTATTCGTGGGTCATGACTGGGGTGGCCAAATGGTCTATCGAACCTGTTTGTATTATCCTGACCGTGTCATTGCAGTCTGCGGCGTCTGCACTCCATACCGTCCTCCAAAGACGACCTACGTGCCATTAGAAGTCATGGTGAAGAAGTTCCCGCAGTTTAAGTATCAGCAATTTTTGGCCAACACGGGAAGTATCGGCGAAAGTGCTGGATGCCTCGCCTCGTCGATTGTTGACTTCGATCTTTCGCAGGCCTTCGGAAATGGGTCCGGAAGCAACCGGAATGTCGCTGCAGAAGATGCTTATGGCCGTCGACTCGGACGTAGATCACTTCGTGTTTACGCAACGATCGACCCTGCTATCTGAAGCTGAACTGGACTATTATGTGGAGCAGTACAGAGCCAGCAAGTTTGCTAGCACGTGCCAGACGTATGCGACGGGGAACATTGACTTTGATGATGAAAGGGGGCTACCGAGTGTGATTGAGCATCCAGCGCTATTTATCGGTGCTGCTAAAGATCCAGTACTCAAACCCGAGATGGCGAGTGGCATGGCCGAGGTGATGCCTAGCCTCGAAACGAAGGTGATTGATGATGCTGGCCATTGGGTGCTCTGGGAGAAGAAGGAAGAGGTGAATGCGATCTTGTCCAAGTGGTTGGCTAAGATTGCTGTAGGCGTGGACGAGGGCAACCCGACAACGAAGTTGTAACCGTGATCGTGGTGCAGAAGCAAAAAGTATGCACTTCAACAATTTCGGCAAAAGTAACGGTGCTTGAAGGAGCTAGCAAAACGGTCAATTGACTACACGTCCTGTCGAGAGTGCCTACATCTACATTTATGGATCTTTAGGCTCTGAAAATCAACGTTGTGACTCGGACTGACAAGCTTAACGGGTGTTGCCTGATTGAATTACCTGACTCTATTGCAACCATGTGTCGATTGCAGCCGTCACCAGAGAGGGCCAAGCTATACTTGACAATCAATTGATCATCGATGCCGCACTGTGAACGTAATCAACTATCGACCAACCCCTTTTTCTCGCCACGCCAACACTCACAAATTTGCGCGCTGATTTACTCACGAGCAAGTCGCACGATCTTGTACAATTGTCTAGAAGCTCCAAGGTCCAGCCGTGACATATAAATAAAAGCGATATCACACTACTGTCATGCAACGCAGGAGACTATGCTTTGAACGGCTATCACGACGCGTGTGAGGTGGACTTTGAAATCAACCTATTGTTTTCTATGTATTGAAAAGTTGTTGTACCAGATTCACGCGTAGTCACCAATTTCCATGATCTTTCTAAAGCGCGATGCCGCAAAGGTCTTCGATGCATAATGTACTTAAAGATGACCTGATCAATGTGCTTGATACGCAGTGCTTACACATATCTTCGCGTTTATGAGGCTACCCGAAGACGTTATGCTTGGGTACGATCGAGCTGGCCGCGCTTTACACGGTACAGCCGGTGAACAGATCTTGGAGCCTGCAAGGCCGAAGAGCTTTTTACAAAGATCTTGAATCTCCAGATGAATCAGGCACATGTCGTCGGACATTGGGTCTTGTATGAACAATCTCATGCTGAGCACATCCGATCATCCATGCAGCTGACTAATCTCTCCATCCGGAAGCTGAGACTACAAAATGGCTGGCTACTTCTGCAGTAGTGATTGCGTCCGCAACATCATAAATCAGGTGCCCCGTGCACTTCATGATTTCGACTCGCCACTTCAACTCCATCCGTCGTACCGAAACTGTCGATGGGTTATGTTCGATGGAGGACTGCCTGATGCCCACTGCAGCTGATACATTGACCGTACTTCTAGCACATTATCAGGACTAGTGGGAAAGCGTGAACGCTGTTCATTGACATGTTACTTGCACAAGTGAGATGTAGGTCCATCAGCGCATTCAAAGCTGACGAGCTGTCACATTGAAGTGGGGTGTGAGAGATGAGGTGTGGTGGCACTTTGCAAGCAGTGACGTCGCACAAAAGATGCGGTCACTCTTCCCGATCAAATCGCGTGTCACCACAGACGGTCTAGGCACGAATCATGGTCGACTTTCATTATTTCAGGGCGCATCATGTCACTTATTCTCATGTCGATCAGGTGAGGCTGTAAACTCCGTCAAAAACCAGCAAGTCTGATCAGACCACGATGAAATATTGGATGTAAAGGTCCCGCGGATAGAGCAACGCATGGTTCTGCCTGAACGATCGACAAGTTACACATGACAACGAGACAGCAAGTCATGTACGGATGTTGCGAAGCGTTCATCAAGTATTTCGAACACTAGCTACTCTAGTATTCCATACGCGTCAATGTGTTTCGAACGAGCACATTGGCGATAGAAGAGTCGAAAGACGAGTTACGCATCGCAACCAATGTCGGAGAGTCACCAAGTGGGGACACAGACACCGTGATGTCCGAGAATCAGTCGTTTTCGGCACCGTCTCTTCTTCAAGTGCAGCGTAAGCCCTCGATATTGCTCAGTAACATATATAACTTTCCTCAAGTGCTCGATTGGTGACCAGCACACCCACTCGTCTCCACCCCGGCCCAACTGCTGGTTCTGCCGATTGCAAAAAGCTGGCTTTCCCGTCCTCATTCGGATACGTAGAAGAGACACCTGCTTTCGTCTAAAGAGTGAGACTGCCGCCCAAACAATCTGCACGTACTGTACTCTTCCTCGAATGCCGCGACGGCACTTGTCCATTTCAACGTGACGAGAACGTGACGGTAAGTGTTGAAGGGTATCGGCTTTCCGACATGTGTTAGTATCGGCACTGTACCGCCGGGAGTAGTCACAAGACCGACTGAATCAGGGGGTTCGAGTCCCTCCTCGGGTGTCCGCTACACCACGTTACTACCGACAAGCAGACAGGCAGCCAGGGACGAGAGCGCGTCGTCGTCGAAGGTCGTTGCCAGCGTTTTTTTTATGCTACAAAGTAGCGCATAAAAGCGACCGCTCCGAGGTTTTTTCATGCGGCCGTCGCGTTGGTGTACTCTTGGGATCGGACGCGCGTGCGCAGAGACCGGGCTATGGTCAGCACCAAGTGTCTCCCTCGTTCATTTCAGCCAATCTCCACCTCGCTCCATCGTGTTTCACGTCCTAACAAAGCAGTCGTTGACACTGTTAAGTCGGACACGATGACAAAACAAAAGCCCTCCCTCCAGTCAGTGTGCGTGCCTGCCCCCTATTCACTTGTGACCATGCCATTCCTCGAAAAGCTCCTTCATTTACCAATCGGATCGCTCGGCCACAAGTGATTCGCTTGACAAACAGTCGAGTCCAGGGTCCTGGTTTTCCACTATCACGAGTCATGATGAAAAAGCGCGGCCCCTCCACGCGCATGTCCCTCCTGAACCAATCGGACGCGACTGGACGGGAACTCCGTCTCTGGCTGCTCTCGGCCTCGACGGTCCATGGCGTGACGTTCTACCGTATTGCAGGCCGGTTTACCTCAAGTGGACAGACGTGGGAAGTGAGTCACCGGTACTCGGAGTTTTTGAAACTCCGGGACCAGCTGGCCAAGTTCCTGTCGGCGTCTACGGACAAGTGCCCCGGCTGTCGCAATTATCTCCATTCGATCCAGCGGTTCGACTTTCCTAAGAAACACCTGTTTGCATCGAGGGCGCCGCCTGTTGTGAATTACCGGGTCAAGGCCTTGCGGTCATTTTTGAACTTGCTCGCGTCGTGGGCGTTCTCCAAGACGCCCAAGTGTCCCACCTGTGGGGGCTACGCTTTCGAGATGGTGCGGACTTTTGTACTGGAAGGGGACAGTGTGTCAACGGTCAATGCAGATATGGATGCTATCCGAGAGTCCGTCACGGTCGCCGCTTTTGCCGAGCCTAAATCGACGAGCTCAAGGGGTTTTTGTATGGACACTGGCAGTCAGAGCTGGATGACGGCAAGTTCATCGGGAGAAGCTGATACGACTCAGAGCATGGAGGGGATGTTACCAGGACAGGAGGGGAGACCCGGTCAAGAGAAGACTCTAGGAGACCCACAGCAGTCGAGGGTACTGCATCCCCAACATTCTCAGGATCAAGTTTCAAGTGGTCGGCGCTTGCCAGCGCAGCAAAGGTGCTACCAGGACGACGATCCCTATGACGCATTTAATGACTATTTGCCAGAGAGGTTGTCCAACATTAAGAAGGCAACTCAATCGAGCATGGAGCAAAAGATCCAGAAGGGCAAGTTCTCGTCGAGACCGCTGCATGAAGTGATCGAGGAGCGACATCAGCACGAGATGAACGACACGGCGGCTCGTGTGAATGAGCAAAAGCTGCAGAAGCAACGGAGCGAGCCGCGGTACTTGTCAGCAAGTCGCCCTTCAACAGGGAGTGGGGTGTCGGTTGGTACGAGTGCCTTTGAAAGTCCGCGCTCCTGTAAGAGAGGGGTGAGTCGCCACAGCTTCGATGGGGAGAGCTTGGTGTCGGATCGAAACATGGCTACAATTGAGCCTACGTCTATTCAAGGCGACGACAATGACGCAAAGGATGGGAATTCCACAAGCAGTGTCTACTCGGGGGACGATGAGATTGAGCTCAAGGGCGTGACTATGGCGTCGCCCCCACATGTGCGCAAGAAAAGCAGCGCAGATAACTTGTGGCAGCCATGGGAGCTCGCACGAGAATCTGTACGTGGCCCAGGGGCATCTATTCTTTCGTCAGATGGCAATGCGACGGCAAACGTTAAGCGTTAGTTACAAGGGCGACTGCGTGATTGCGACGTGTGTCGCTCTACCTTAATACCGTTGACATTTGCATTATTAGGGCCTTCGAGGTTGCATTGCTATGCGAATGGTTGTGTATGTTATAGTTGAGTGACTGGATGGTAATCCAAGATGATTATTGCATACGAAAGACAAGTCGATCGAATGGGGTGATCGTAGGTAGACGAATAGATTGTTCGTTGTTTATGATGATGCCTTCTTCAATCCGCACAGGTGAGCAAACATCACCGTTACTATGATGCACTACGCCCGTATCTTGTGTTGCCCCCAGTACTGCTTATCGAATCAGCCCACGTGTTGACATCATTTTTCGCATATGTATCTGGCGTCACATGTGCCAAGGCTGTCGACATGAATACGAGACTCGACACGCGAAAAGTCACATGTGGAGGCCGCTTCTGTCACATGTCTGCAGTTATGTTGGTGTGACGCTGAAATAAGTTGCAGTGGGGATGAGAAAGCCCATGACAATCAGAAATATATACCATGCGCAGGATAAAAGAGAGCGCGGATTCGCGTCAAGCAGCAAAAGTCAGCAGGTGAGTTAGCGATTTGTGTGGAAGTTGAATCGGTGTCTAAAGTCTCGATGGCAGACTCGACGCTGCTATCCTGTAAAAGCCTGCTGCTTAACCTGACATGCGTTGAACGATGACATCGTTACAAAGAGATTTATGAGGATGCTTAAGTCAGTTCGGGCGTTCGCTGGCCGGGTTATGAGACCATTTGTGATCTGACATTATCGCGAGCGCTCTTGTCGATACTGCCTCGTCAGTAAGCAAGAAGAACCTAGGATCGTTACAACCAGGCATTTGTCGTTGCAACAGACATTGTCGTGTGCGTTTCTTTGTCAGCATTGTTTTTTTTCTCCAGAAATTAGAACAAAAATTGGTGATACAACTTCGAACATTTGCAAGTTTGTCGTCATGCAATAGTGTTTCATGCAGCAAGTACAATACATGCAAAAGTAACCGGAACCACTTATCTCCATACAAGCGGCCGCTCTGTGAATGAATGCTCGTCAATGATTCAGATAAGCGTGTGATACGATTCGATTGCACGCGACCAAGTTTACAGCGCTGACATTAGCGAAGAACGTCTGAGGCGCTAATGCCGAGTTATCTTGGCATCGGAATTGCGTGTGATGGATGACGTGTTACATGATATAAAGATGTAGGATCGAACTCTGGAGATCGCCCTTTAACATACTTAATCCAGTTCGGAAAACTTAATCGAGTTGCAAAACACTATACATCAGTTCTTAATTTGTATTGAAGTGGCAAGTAAGGAAATTTTGATGGTGCCGGCGCTGGTCGCTTTTGTAACGGGGCACCCTGAAGCTTGTACTGGTGACAGTACAAGCTACTTATTCTGATGACAGAATAAGGCGGTGCCTCGTAACTTCACGTACACTCGTACGTGCAGAGGAAGACGGTAAGAAGAAGCGAGTACTTGGTTAAAGTAAAAAGTAGAACTGTATTTATAATAGTTAATGTAACGGGGTGAATCGTTACATAACAATTTATAAGAAATTGTTAATAGAATATAACTATAAGAGTTATATTCTCAGAATATTATCATAAGGACAAATATTCTGTAGCACTTACGAGTAGTTCCTAATTGGTTGATATAGGCCATTATATCAACCAACGAAGACGCGCCACGACAGACGCACGCAATGAGTGGTGTGCAGATAGTTGATATGCATATTTGTATTTAGACATAGTTAGATGAGGATAAATAGTGATTTATTAACAGACATTAACTATTATAAATACAGTTCTACTTTTTACTTTAACCAAGTACTCGCTTCTTCTTACCGTCTTCCTCTGCACGTACGAGTGTACGTGAAGTCACGAGGCACCGCCTTATTCTGTCATCAGAATAAGTAGCTTGTACTGTCATCAGTACGAGCTCCAGGGTGCCCCGTTACACCTGGTAGCACTTCGTAGTCCGTCCACTGACCACGTTCACATCTAACATGAATATGTTAGATGATGAAGATGACCAAAGCTTTCACGCTACGCGTGACGGCTACTCCCATTTGAGCGATGTCGAATGGGATGTGGTTGAACGGATGGGTTCAACCACGGGCATCCATGCTGTTAGCGTCATGCTAGAGGCTCACAATAGAGATGCCCAACATGCTACTATCGCCAAGTTCATTCAAAATGAACTTGACGCAGAACGCGAGAAAGTAGCCTTGCTTCACCAACAATGTTCTCAACAATCAGAGTTGTTGAGAGAACAGGGTGCTCAACAGTTTGAATTGTTGAGACAGCAGCAGGCTGCTGCTGGTGGATCGATGCACTCGCGTCGACCCGAGACCTTGAAGATTGACATCTCCAAGTATAGGGGAGTCGAAGAGGACCCCCTCTTGAGATGGTTCGTCGAATTGGATGACGCCATAAGGGCGCGTCGCATCGACGACGGGGATATGCAAGCTGCATTTGCCCGGCCTAATCTGGCAGGACGTGCCAAGACTTGGGCACTGGGGCTTAAGCTGCACGACCCATATGCGTTTGTGTCGTTAGAAGTCTTCAAGTCGCGGCTCAGACAAACGTTTGAACCGCCTAGAGCTGAGTTCAGAGCTCGAACTGAACTCTTGAAGCTCGAACAAGGTAAGCGTGCTGTGCACGCTTACGCGCAACATATACGACATCTCACAAGTTGTATAAGTTCCAACCCGATTGACGAACACACGTTGGTTTCAGTGTTCATGCAAGGTCTTGCGGATGGTCCCGTCAAGACTCACCTGTTCTGACTTGATCTGGATTCACTAGAACAAGCCATTTTCATTGTGGTACAGGAAGACTTCAGTCTGAGACAGGCTCGCGCCAGCTCGACATCATATCGTCCACCGAGACGATATGACAGCGGAGGTCCAAAGCCGATGGAAATCTGTTATCTAGAGAGCGAGAAGGCTCGCTCTACAGACTACAAGAAGTTGCAGAGATGCAACAGATGTCAAAAGACAGGACACTACGCTTACGAGTGTAGTGCCCCTCGTCCAGTGTCTCGCAACATAGGGCGTAATGACCGTCCACCCATGAGAAAGGGGCAGGAACGCGGGTCCGCAGTTGGTGCAAAGACGCAACAACGGGATGGACCGTCAAAAAACGGACAGGATCAGTAGGTGCGGAGCACCCTACTGGTCCAGCAACGTCAAGAGAATTTGTAGGCCTCTTGACGAAGGTTGCTCCCAACACACAAACGTTGTGCGTTGCTGCTCTAGGTAATGAGATCTCACTCATTACCTTGAAACTCGAAGTGACGAATAAGTTATCCCTTTGAGCTCTAGTCGATTGTGGGGCGTCTAACAATTTTGTGCGACGCCAATCGCTACAAGATGGTCACTTCAAGTTTGTTGAGCGCGACACACCTCCTACGAGGATGACGGTACGTCTTGCGACAGGCGCATCCGTAACCGTCATGAAGCGTATAGTGAAGATTCACTATACGCTAGAAGATACCCAGTATCACGATGACTTTATCGCATTGGATTTGGATGGCAAATTTGATGTCATCCTTGGAATACCGTGGCTCAGAAGGTACGAACCACGGGTAAACTGGCAACATCGGACAGTAACGATGCCTGCCGCTTGTTCATCAGATGGCCATCTGATGAACGTTTTGGAGCGTCCGCAAGCGTGTGGATGTACTACGAGTGAGTGCGATGGCCTCACTTGTGGTACGGTCGTTAGTACGACTGCACAAAACCTTAGTGTAACAAACGGTTACACTTCGGAGCAAAGTTCCGGCGGCTGTGAGGAAACACAGGCTGCGCCGAAGGTCCACCACTCGAATAAGTCGAGTGGACCGGGACAAAGATGTATCCCTAGCGAGGAACATCTAGAAGAGAAACAATCAATCAATTAGGTTAAGCGAAACGATAATCCTAGATCGACTGGAGTGTCTTTCGTAGAGGATCTCGCTGTGGTTGCGCAACCACAGCTAGAGGAAGTAAAGGGAATAAGTCCCGATAATACAAATACGGCGGAAATAAGTTCCCCGAAACCCGCGGGAATAAGTCCCCGGGAAGCCGAAGGAATAAGTCCTTCGAAGCCTGTGGGAATAAGTCCCCAGGAAATGACAGAGACATTGAATGTCATAGTCAATAACGGATCAAGTGTAGGCGCTTATACACTTGATCTGATTGCGCCTCCGAAGTTGACTTCGGAGATCACTCAGTTGCCAACGCTCGAACATAAAAGGTTCTTGCGTGATCTGCGTAGTGGCAAAGTCAAGCAGATCTGCGTACTCGTCGCTGACGACTAGTGTGTAACCGACATAAGGTCAGCAACAATGTTTACTGAGAACGAGAGAGTTCTCAGTAGTTCATCTATGGACGAGAGTGTCCTAGATGAAAAGACACGAATTGAGCGATATGACTCCCAATCGTGGGAATCGCTCAAGACAAATCCTCTCTATGAAGATTTGGTAGAATTCAAGGATGCATTCCTTGAAACTGTTCCGTGCGAATTACCGAAGGATAAAGGTATTCGACACGAGGTCGAGCTTAAACCAGGCTCGAAGTACTGTGTCATGAAGCAGTGGCCACTGCCTCGTGAACAAGTACTTGCGATCGACAAGTTCTTTGCCGATCGTTTAGCTGCGGGCCATGTGAGGGAATCAACTTCCCCACATAGCTCTCCGACCTTCTGTGTGCGAAAAGCAACAGGAGGGTGGCGGATAGTGCATGCATTCAATAAGTTGAATGCTGCAACGGTACCGGCACAGACGCCGATACCGAGGAAGGACGTAATCATTGATGGTATGTCAAAGAGTACCATCTTTTCGTCCATGGATTTGATGGATGGCTTCTATCAAATCCTTATGCGAGAACGGGATATACCCTATACCGCAGTTAGCACGCCTAGCGGCATGCTCTGGGAATGGCTAGTAATGCCACAAGGGCTTAGTAATGCCCCTGCCACGTTCAACAGATGCGTATCACATCTGTTGAGGCCAGTACGAGAATTCGCGCCGAGTTATTTCGATGACGTATTCATCCATAGTCGGGCTATGGATGAAAAGTCGGACGTTGAGGTTCACAGGTACCACGTCCGACAGGTTCTTACAATCATGCGAAAGCATCAATTGTATGCAAACCTCAAGAAGTGTATATTTGCAGCAAGCGAAATACCACTTCTTGGGTGCATCGTTGGTAAGAACGGTGTACGTCCTGATCCCGAAAAGATCAAGGCGATTACCGACTGGCCTGTGCCAGTCGATGTCAAAGGTCTTCGAAAATTCCTTGGGCTAGCGGCGTATTTGCACAAGTATTCACGCAATTACGCCGAGATGACTGTGCACCTCTCTCGTTTGTTGAAAAAGAACGAGAGGTGGTTATGGAACGCTGAATGTCAGCGCTCCTTTGAGGGTATCAAGCAGAGCTTGATACAATCCCCAGTCCTAGCAATAGCCGATCAGGACAGGCCATTTCATGTGGTCTGTGATGCCAGCGATTTCGCAATCGGCTGTGCATTAATGCAGTACGACCTTGAAGGCGTTGAACGCGTCGTCTGCTATCAGTCGCGTCAGCTGCAACCAGCTGAGCGGAACTACCCAGTGCATGACAAGGAACTCCTTGCCATGAAGTATGCACTCGCGAAGTTCAGAGTCTATCTATTAGTAGATAGACCCTTCATTGTTTACACCGACCATGCGTCATTACGCACGGCAGTGAACAGCCCGCACCTTTCACAACGAATGGCGCGGTGGTTGTCATTCTTTGCAGAATACAACTTTACGGTCGAGTACAAACCAGGACGGCTTAATGTCGTCGCTGATGCACGCTCACGTCGTCCCGACTTTGAACCAGTCGTGAAACCCAACAGTGAGGCAGTCACTGTTGCGGTTATGACGTCCTCAGTCCCATCTACAACGTTGCATGATGCTGTGAGGCGGGCATATGCCCAGGATGGTGAGATTGTGGAGCTGTTGACACATCTCTCACAGCCATCTCGAGAATCGTTGAAACGATTGTCGTCTGCGTATCGATCTGCATCAGATCGATACACTACTCGCAACGATTTAATGTATTATACAGCCGTTACTGGTGACACACCACGTGTTGTCATTCCAGATGATAATGATCTGCTTTTGCGGATCATGTTCGAGTATCACGATGCTCCTACAGGAGGACATCGTGGCCGGGAGAAAACATATCTCACGGTGAGTCGAGACTTTTACTGGTCCCGCCGGTATCAGTTTGTGCGCAAGTACATTCGCGCATGCGAAGTCTGTCAACGAGTGAAGTCAAGTCCTTCACTGCGTGCACCTTTACAGCCTCTACCGGTTCCGGCTGAGTGCTGGGAATCCATCTCAATGGATTTCGTCTTCGGGTTACCCAAAGACGCACGCGGGAATACGGGTATTCTCGTTTTTGTTGACAGATTCAGCAAAATGGTACACCTTGTGGCTGTACCAGAGTCAACCACAGCAAGTGGCTGTGCTTGTGTCTTTATTGACACCATCTTCCGACTTCATGGGTTGCCCCGTGAACTCGTATCAGACAGGGATCCACGATTCACTTCTGATTTCTGGCGTTCCGTGTTCAAATCACTCGGAACGCGCTTGAAGATGTCGACATCTGATCATCCAGAGTCAGATGGTCAGACGGAACGTGCCAATCGTGTCCTCGAAGAGATACTTCGAGGATACGTACACTCCTTTAAGAGTTGGAGTGAGTTCTTGCCAATGGTAGAGTTTGCCATTAACAACTCGGTGCATGCGTCCACGACACATACACCGTTTTACGTGAATGGCTTACGCCATCCGCGTGTACCCACCTTACTAGAGTGTAACTCTGGTTTAAGGAGGGGGAGAGACTCGCACGAGCAAAAAACCGATTTGGATCACGCTCATCACGCTCTGACGAAGAGGTCATTGCGTTCGATGCCGATATCGACAACATCGATATCGAAGAAGATGATGCCAGTGAGAGCGAGGAAGCCCTCACTGAAGAAAATACTGATGTCGCTGCAGTGCACTCACAGCGCACTGAAGCTAACGAGCCAGCAGATGAGTTCATACTGGCTCGTGAAACGGTAGTCCGTTTTGTGCAAGACTCCATCGCCGAAGCGGTGGACAAGCAAAAGCAAAACGCTGACAAGAATGGAAGGGCAGACACTCTTTTATTTAATAAGGGTGACTTAGTCCTACTGTCTACGGTTAATCTACCAAAGCATGTAGTGACTAACGTGAGTAGTAGTAAACTTCTACCCAAGTGCATCGGCCCATTTCGGGTATTGCACCGCCTAGGCAATGCATACACGATCGAGTTACCACGTAAGATGCGAACGCATCCCACGTTTTACGTTGGTCGGCTTAAGCCGCACCATCAGTACGCTGCTTCTTCCGATGAAGAACGCCCTTGCTCTCAAGCATCTCGCAGAGAGCCTTGTGCTCCCGATGGTGGGCATCAACAAGGGTCTGAAGAGCAGCTATCTCATCCCGAGACCGATCAACAATCCCACGAGCTGCCCTTAGCTCGTCACGAAGAGATGTCAGAGATCTCTCGTTCTCAAGCTGAGCAAAGGCAAACTCAGCTCGATGCTTCGAGGCAGTGTCCGCCATTTGGAGACGCCTGTCCCGCTCATGTTCAAGATCGTCGCGTAACCCTTGCGTTACGCGATCAAAGAAGCTCTCGGGAACACACGCTTCCCCACGATCGTGTGGAGAGCGTCTTTCCTCCTCCTCCACCTCCATTCAAGGACTCTCGCGGTGGCCAGCGCTATCTAGTTGAGCAGCTGTTGAACCACCGCGACGTGAACGGACGTCGGACGAGTTATCTCGTCCGGTGGCGCGGCTATCCCCCGTCCTGGGATACTTGGGAGCCCCGCTTCCAACTAATGGTTGACGTACTGGGTCTGGTTGAGCAGTACGATGCGGCACATCCTGTGCCGCAGAAGGACCGCCGATGAAAGTCTTTCCGGCACGGTCGTAAAGGGATTTCAGGTTGTCAATCCCTTCATACATCTCAGTAGAGATACGTACGCGCCACCACGGGCTAGTAAGGAGGTAAGCCTTCTTAGGTGCTCGTGCAGAGTTGTTCACACAACATGGGCACGAGTCTCCCAAGAGAGGCAGGGTAATCCTTTCTCCCTTGATAGACGATGCAGCTTATAGCGTGCACCTGTTGGGGTTCTCTTTTCAAACTTATCACGAGCTTTGATAAGTTTGTCGTTCCATGCGTCACGACCTACATCCTCGAGGTTATGGATGTAGGCATTCCACGCTTGAAGCAGTGAGGGACCATCACGTTTGTGATTCCCACTGTACCATCGATGTTTGAAGAAAGCATCGATGAAGAATTCATGTTCAGCGCGATAGTTTTTCGCACTGGGGTCAAGGTGATGGATCCTTGACGAATCGAACAATCGTGTTCGATAACGATCACTCGTCGTCGCCGACAAGTGATCCATGACTGACTTAGGAGGCATCCATGCCTTCTTCTCAGGAGCGAGACGCAACACATTGCGGTCCCGCTCTTCCTGCGATGTGCCGACAGAAGTACTGGCACCTCGCTGTGAAGTGGCGTCAATAGGAGAACCGACACCACTGTTAGCGCCCGAGTCTCGCGACCTCGAGCGCCTTTGCTTCGGCGATGGTTCATCTGATTCATCAGATGAACCAAAAATGCACCGACGCATAGCATCATCCATGCCACGCTTGGCAGGCGGCTTGGATTCAATCGCCGTCGATACGGATCCGTCTTCCGTATCAGGAGAGTATGAGACACCGATCTCATACTCTGTGAAGACATGAGTGTCTTCATGACCAGCGCCTGCATCACCAGGTGACACAGGCTGAGTCGCTTCAGCAACCGATGAGACATCAGTTGCTGTTGTTTCTGCTTCGGCGTCCGCACAGAGACGTGCAGACGCGCTCTCGGCGGCCTTGCTCGCGCATCGCATGGGCTTGTTTACCATGCGATGAATTGTTGGAAAGTGGACTCGGACCAACAAGTGCAAACCCTGTCCCAAATGATTTGATGGACGAGTATCCAATATTTAATCAATCAGTCACTAAAGTGACTGATGGTGGGGGGTGATGTGACGGTGAGAATCGTTACATAACAATTTATAAGAAATTGTTAATAGAATATAACTATAAGAGTTATATTCTCAGAATATTATCATAAGGACAAATATTCTGTAGCACTTACGAGTAGTTCCTAATTGGTTGATATAGGCCATTATACCAACCAACGAAGACCTTCACGACAGACGCACGCAATGAGTGGTGAGCAGATAACTGATTTACACATTTGTATTTAGACATAGTTAGATGAAGATAAACAGTGGTTTATTGCAGACATTAACTATTATAAATACAGTTCTACTTTTTACTTTAACCAAGTACTCGCTTCTTCTTACCGTCTTCCTCTGCACGTACGAGTGTACGTGAAGTTACGAGGCACCGCCTTATTCTGTCATCAGAATAAGTAGCTTGTACTGTCATCAGTACGAGCTTCAGGGTGCCCCGTTACGGTTAATGTCTGCAATAAACCACTGTTTTTCTTCATCTAACTATGTCTAAATACAAATGTGTAAATCAATATGTGCTCACCACTCATTGCGTGCGTCTGTCGTGGCGCGTCTTCGTTGGTTGATATAATGGCCTATATCAACCAATTAGGAACTACTCGTAAGTGCTACAGAATATTTGTCCTTATGATAATATTCTGAGAATATAACTCTTATAGTTATATTCTATTAACAATTTCTTATAAATTGTTATGTAACGATTCACCCCGTTACATCACCCCCCCCTTAACCATCGGTCACTATAGTGACTGATTGACTAAATGGATACTCGTCCCAAATCATTTGGGACAGGGTTTGCACTTGTTGGTCCGAGTCCACTTTCCTATAATTCATCGCATGGTTAACAAGCCCATGCGATGCGCGAGCAAGGCCGCCGAGAGCGCGTCTGCACGTCTTTGTGCGGACGCCGAAGCAGAAACCGCAGCAACTGATGTCTCATCGGTTGCTGAAGAGACTCAGCCTGTGTCACCTTGTGATGCAGGCGCTAGTCATGAAGACACTCATGTCTTCACAGAGTATGAGATCGGTGTCTCATACTCTCCTGATACGGAAGACGGATCCGTATCGACGGCGATTGAATCCAAGCCGCCTGCCAAGCGTGGCATGGATGATGCTACGCGTCGCAGCATCTTTGGTTCATCTTATGAATCAGATGAACCATCGCCGAAGCCAAGGCGCTCGAGGTCGCGAGACTCGGGCGCTAATAGTGGTGTCGGTTCTCTTATTGACGCCACTTCGCAACGAGGCTCCAGTACTTCTGTCGGCACGTCGCAAGAAGAGCGGGACCGCAGTGTTTTGCATCTCGCTCCCGAGAAGAAGGCATGGATGCCTCCCAAATCGGTCATGGATCACTTGTCGGTGACGACGAGTGATCGTTATCGAACACGATTGTCCGATTTGTTAAGGTCCATCACCTTGACCCCAGCGCGAAAAACTATCGCGCTGAACATGAGTTCTTCATCGATGCTTTCTTCAAACATCGATGGTACAGTGGGAATCACAAACGTGATGGTCCCTCACTGCTTCAAGCGTGGAACGCCTACATCCATAACCTTGAAGATGTAGGTCGTGACGCTTGGAACGACAAACTTATCAAAGCTCGTGATAAGTTTGAAAAGCGAACCCCAACAGGTGCACGCTATAAGCTGCATCGTCTATCAAGAAGGAAAGGATTACCCTGCCTCTCTTGGGAGACTCGTGCCCATGTTGTGTGAACAACTCTGCACGAGCACCTAAGAAGGCTTACCTCCTTACTAGCCCGTGGTGGCACGTACGTATCTCTACTGAGATGTACGAAGGGATTGACAACCTGAAATCCCTTTACGACCGTGCCGGGAAGACTTTCATCGGCGGTCCTTCTGCGGCACAGGATGTGCCGCATCGTACTGCTCAACCAGACCCAGTACGTCAACCATCAGTTGGAAGCGGGGCTCCCAAGTATCCCAGGACGGGGGATAGCCGCGCCACCGGACGAGATAACTCGTCCGACGTCCGTTCACGTCGCGGTGGCTCAACAGCTGCTCAGCTAGATAGCGCTGGCCACCGCGAGAGTCCTTGAATGGAGGTGGAGGAGGAGGAAAGACGCTCTCCACACGATCGTGGGGAAGCGTGTGTTCCCGAGAGCTTCTTTGATCGCGTAACGCAAGGGTTACGCGACGATCTTGAACATGAGCGGGACAGGCGTCTCCAAATGGCGGACACTGCCTCGAAGCATCGAGCTGAGTTTGCCTTTGCTCAGCTTGAGAACGAGAGATCTCTGACATCTCTTCGTGACGAGCTAAGGGCAGCTCGTGGGATTGTTGATCGGTCTCGGGATGAGATAGCTGCTCTTCAGACCCTTGTTGATGCCCACCATCGGGAGCACAAGGCTCTCTGCGAGATGCTTGAGAGCAAGGGCGTTCTTCATCGGAAGAAGCAGCGTACTGATGGTGCGGCTTAAGCCGACCAACGTAAAACGTGGGATGCGTTCGCATCTTACGTGGTAACTCGATCGTGTATGCATTGCCTAGGCGGTGCAATACCCGAAATGGGCCGATGCACTTGGGTAGAAGTTTACTACTACTCACGTTAGTCACTACATGCTTTGGTAGATTAACCGTAGACAGTAGGACTAAGTCACCCTTATTAAATAAAAGAGTGTCTGCCCTTCCATTCTTGTCAGCGTTTTGCTTTTGCTTGTCCACCGCTTCGGCGATGGAGTCTTGCACAAAACGGACTACCGTTTCACGAGCCAGTATGAACTCATCTGCTGGCTCGTTAGCTTCAGTGCGCTGTGAGTGCACTGCAGCGACATCAGTATTTTCTTCAGTGAGGGCTTCCTCGCTCTCACTGGCATCATCTTCTTCGATATCAACGTTGTCGATATCGGCATCGAACGCAATGACCTCTTCGTCAGAGCGTGATGAGCGTGATCCAAATCGGTTTTTTGCTCGTGCGAGTCTCTCCCCCTCCTTAAACCAGAGTTACACTCTAGTAAGGTGGGTACACGCGGATGGCGTAAGCCATTCACGTAAAACGGTGTATGTGTCGTGGACGCATGCACCGAGTTGTTAATGGCAAACTCTACCATTGGCAAGAACTCACTCCAACTCTTAAAGGAGTGTACGTATCCTCGAAGTATCTCTTCGAGGACACGATTGGCGCGTTCCGTCTGACCATCTGACTCTGGATGATCAGATGTCGACATCTTCAAGCGCGTTCCGAGTGATTTGAACACGGAACGCCAGAAATCAGAAGTGAATCGTGGATCCCTGTCTGATACGAGTTCACGGGGCAACCCATGAAGTCGGAAGATGGTGTCAATAAAGACACAAGCACAGCCACTTGCTGTGGTTGACTCTGGTACAGCCACAAGGTGTACCATTTTGCTGAATCTGTCAACAAAAACGAGAATACCCGTATTCCCGCGTGCGTCTTTGGGTAACCCGAAGACTAAATCCATTGAGATGGATTCCCAGCACTCAGCCGGAACCGGTAGAGGCTGTAAAGGTGCATGCAGTGAAGGACTTGACTTCACTCGTTGACAGACTTCGCATGCGCGAATGTACTTGCGCACAAACTGATACCGGCGGGACCGGTAAAAGTCTCGACTCACCGTGAGATATGTTTTCTCCCGGCCACGATGTCCTCCTTTAGGAGCATCGTGATACTCGAACATGATCCGCAAAAGCAGATCATTATCATCTGGAATGACAACACGTGGTGTGTCACCAGTAACGGCTGTATAATACATTAAATCGTTGCGAGTAGTGTATCGATCTGATGCAGATCGATACGCAGACGACAATCGTTTCAACGATTCTCGAGATGGCTGTGAGAGATGTGTCAACAGCTCCACAATCTCACCATCCTGGGCATATGCCCGCCTCACAGCATCATGCAACGTTGTAGATGGGACTGAGGACGTCATAACCGCAACAGTGACTGCCTCACTGTTGGGTTTCACGACTGGTTCAAAGTCGGGACGACGTGAGCGTGCATCAGCGACGACATTAAGCCGTCCTGGTTTGTACTCGACCGTAAAGTTGTATTCTGCAAAGAATGACAACCACAGCGCCATTCGTTGTGAAAGGTGCGGGCTGTTCACTGCCGTGCGTAATGACGCATGGTCGGTGTAAACAATGAAGGGTCTATCTACTAATAGATAGACTCTGAACTTCGCGAGTGCATACTTCATGGCAAGGAGTTCCTTGTCATGCACTGGGTAGTTCCGCTCAGCTGGTTGCAGCTGACGCGACTGATAGCAGACGACGCGTTCAACGCCTTCAAGGTCGTACTGCATTAATGCACAGCCGATTGCGAAATCGCTGGCATCACAGACCACATGAAATGGCCTGTCCTGATCGGCTATTGCTAGGACTGGGGATTGTATCAAGCTCTGCTTGATACCCTCAAAGGAGCGCTGACATTCAGCGTTCCATAACCACCTCTCGTTCTTTTTCAACAAACGAGAGAGGTGCACAGTCATCTCGGCGTAATTGCGTGAATACTTGTGCAAATACGCCGCTAGCCCAAGGAATTTTCGAAGACCTTTGACATCGACTGGCACAGGCCAGTCGGTAATCGCCTTGATCTTTTCGGGATCAGGACGTACACCGTTCTTACCAACGATGCACCCAAGAAGTGGTATTTCGCTTGCTGCAAATATACACTTCTTGAGGTTTGCATACAATTGATGCTTTCGCATGATTGTAAGAACCTGTCGGACGTGGTACCTGTGAACCTCAACGTCCGACTTTCCATCCATAGCCCGACTATGGATGAATACGTCATCGAAATAACTCGGCGCGAATTCTCGTACTGGCCTCAACAGATGTGATACACATCTGTTGAACGTGGCAGGGGCATTACTAAGCCCTTGTGGCATTACTAGCCATTCCCAGAGCATGCCGCTAGGCGTGCTAACTGCGGTATAGGGTATATCCCGTTCTCGCATAAGGATTTGATAGAAGCCATCCATCAAATCCATGGACGAAAAGATGGTACTCTTTGACATACCATCAATGATTACGTCCTTCCTCGGTATCGGCGTCTGTGCCGGTACCGTTGCAGCATTCAACTTATTGAATGCATGCACTATCCGCCACCCTCCTGTTGCTTTTCGCACACAGAAGGTCGGAGAGCTATGTGGGGAAGTTGATTCCCTCACATGGCCTGCAGCTAAACGATCGGCAAAGAACTTGTCGATCGCAAGTACTTGTTCACGAGGCAGTGGCCACTGCTTCATGACACAGTACTTCGAGCCTGGTTTAAGCTCGACCTCGTGTCGAATACCTTTATCCTTCGGTAATTCGCACGGAACAGTTTCAAGGAATACATCCTTGAATTCTACCAAATCTTCATAGAGAGGATTTGTCTTGAGCGATACCCACGATTGGGAGTCATATCGCTCAATTCGTGTCTTTTCATCTAGGACACTCTCGTCCATAGATGAACTACTGAGAACTCTCTCGTTCTCAGTAAACACTGTTGCTGACCTTATGTCGGTTACACACTAGTCGTCAGCGACGAGTACGCAGATCTGCTTGACTTTGCCACTACGCAGATCACGCAAGAACCTTTTATGTTCGAGCGTTGGCAACTGAGTGATCTCCGAAGTCAACTTCGGAGGCGCAATCAGATCAAGTGTATAAGCGCCTACACTTGATCCGTTATTGACTATGACATTCAATGTCTCTGTCATTTCCTGGGGACTTATTCCCTCAGGCTTCGAAGGACTTATTCCTTCGGCTTCCCGGGGACTTATTTCCGCGGGTTTCGGGGAACTTATTTCCGCCGTATTTGTATTATCGGGACTTATTCCCTTTACTTCCTCTAGCTGTGGTTGCGCAACCACAGCGAGATCCTCTACGAAAGACACTCCAGTCGATCTAGGATTATCGTTTCGCTTAACCTAATTGATTGATTGTTTCTCTTCTAGATGTTCCTCGCTAGGGATACATCTTTGTCCCAGTCCACTCGACTTATTCGAGTGGTGGACCTTCGGCGCAGCCTGTGTTTCCTCACAGTCGCCGGAACTTTGCTCCGAAGTGTAACCGTTTGTTAAACTAAGGTTTTGTGCAGTCGTACTAACGACCGTACCACAAGTGAGGCCATCGCACTCACTCGTAGTACATCCACACGCTTGCGGACGCTCCAAAACGTTCATCAGATGGCCATCTGATGAACAAGCGGCAGGCATCGTTACTGTTCGATGTTGCCAGTTTACCCGTGGTTCGTACCTTCTGAGCCACGGTATTCCAAGGATGACATCAAATTTGTCATCCAAATCCAATACGATAAAGTCATCGTGATACTGGGTATCTTCTAGCGTATAGTGAATCTTCACTATACGCTTCATGACGGTTACGGATGCGCCTGTCGCAAGACGTACCGTCATCCTCGTAAGAGGTGTGTCGCACTCAACAAACTTGAAGTGACCATCTTGTAGCGATTGGCGTCGCTCAAAATTGTTAGACGCCCCACAATCGACTAGAGCTCAAAGGGATAACTTATTCGTCACTTCGAGTTTCAAGGTAATGAGTGAGATCTCATTACCTAGAGCAGCAACTCACAACATTTGTGTGTTGGGAGCAACCTTCGTCAAGAGGCCTACAAATTCTCTTGACGTTGCTGGACCAGTAGGGTGCTCCGCACCTACTGATCCTGTCCGTTTTTTGACGGTCCTACCCGTTGTTGCGTCTTTGCACCAACATCGGACCCGCGTTCCTGCCCCTTTCTCATGGGTGGACGGTCATTACGCCCAGTGTTGCGAGACACTGGACGAGGAGCACTACACTCGTGAGCGTAGTGTCCTGTCTTTTGACGTCTGTTGCATTTCTGCAACTTCTTGTAGTCTGTAGAGCGAGCCTTCTCGCTCTCTACATAACAGATTTCCATCGGCTTTGGACCTCCGCTGTCATATCGTCTCGGTGGACGATATGATGTCGAGCTGGCGCGAGCCTGTCTCAGACTGAAGTCTTCCTGTACCACAATGAAAATGGCTTGTTCTAGTGAATCCAGATCAAGTCAGAACAGGTGAGTCTTGACGGGACCATCCGCAAGACCCTGCATGAACACCGAAACCAACGTGTGTTCGTCAATCGGGTTGGAACTTATACAACTTGTGAGATGTCGTATATGTTGCGCGTAAGCGTGCACAGCACGCTTACCTTGTTCGAGCTTCAAGAGTTCAGTTCGAGCTCTGAACTCAGCTCTAGGCGGTTCAAACGTTTGTCTGAGCCGCGACTTGAAGACTTCCAACGACACAAACGCATATGGGTCGTGCAGCTTAAGCCCCAGTGCCCAAGTCTTGGCACGTCCTGCCAGATTAGTCCGGACAAATGCAGCTTGCATATCCCCGTCGTCGATGCGACGCGCCCTTATGGCGTCATCCAATTCGACGAACCATCTCAAGAGGGGGTCCTCTTCGACTCCCCTATACTTGGAGATGTCAATCTTCAAGGTCTCGGGTCGACGCGAGTGCATCGATCCACCAGCAGCAGCCTGCTGCTGTCTCAACAATTCAAACTGTTGAGCACTCCTGTTCTCTCAACAACTCTGATTGTTGAGAACATTGTTGGTGAAGCAAGGCTACTTTCTCGCGTTCTGCGTCAAGTTCATTTTGAATGAACTTGGCGATAGTAGCATGTTGGGAATCTCTATTGTGAGCCTCTAGCATGACGCTAACAGCATGGATGCCCGTGGTTGAACCCATCCGTTCAACCACATCCCATTGGACATCGCTCAAATGGGAGTAGCCGTCACGCGTAGCGTGAAAGCTTTGGTCATCTTCACCATCCAACATATTCATGTTAGATGTGAACGTGGTCCTTGGACGGACTACCAAGTATTACCAGGTGTAACGGGGCACCCTGAAGCTTGTACTGGTGACAGTACAAGCTACTTATAAGTAGCTTGTACTCAGTGGTAGAACACCCGATTAGTAAGCGGAAGGTCGGTAGTTCAATCCTGCCTGGGGGCAGTGACCATGTGCACATCCATTATAAGGCACAAGTTCCAGCACTTCCTTAATCGAGCAAGCCATAGCTCCGTGGTAGAGCACCCGATCAGTAAGTGGAAGGTCGGTAGTTCAATCCTGCCTGGGGCCAGTGACGTGTGCGCATCCATTATCAGGCACAAGTTCTAGCACCTCCTTAATCGAGCAAGCCATAGCTCCGTGACAGAATATGGCGGTGCCTCGTAACTTCACATACACTCGTAAGTGCAGAGGAAGACGGTAAGAAGAAGCGAGTACTTGGTTAAAGTAAAAAGTAGAACTGTATTTATAATAGTTAATGTCTGCAATAAACCACTGTTTTTCTTCATCTAACTATGTCTAAATACAAATGTGTAAATCAGTTAACTGCTCACCACTCATTGCGTGCGTCTGTCGTGGAGCGTCTTCGTTGGTTGATATAATGGCCTATATCAACCAATCAGGAACTACTCGATTAAATAGCGACTCATAACAAGTTTTCTTTACGGGCGCCAAATTTCAAAGACTGTGATGATGATGATGATGATGGCCTAGCTAACGAAAGCGTCGGAGCAGACAGGTTTGGCAGCAGACGACAGTCGCTTTTATTATTATTACTGGATTTTTGAAAGGCTTACAAAATATGTAACGGGGAATCCCTGTAGTTTGGTGTTACGAAACTTCACGTACACTCGGACGTGCAAATGAAGGTAATCTACTCAACAACTAAGCTGAGTAAAGGGTAAAAAGAGAACGGTATTTAATAGAGATAAGCAATCAATATAACTTCAGTCTTCATTTAACTGTATTAATCTACATTGTCGTATGACGACAACCTGCTCACCACTCATTACGCGCTTCTAAAAGAAATTGATGGTAATCTTTGTTAATATGTCTTGCGACTAATCTTTGAGCAGCTCGTTAATATCATCCTAATGGGATTATATTCCTTCAATAGTATCCATCTCGGGTAATATTGGTAGGGGATTGTCAAGCCAGACAATCTACCTATTCACACCATTTGGTGTCAATAAAATGTAACGGGACACCCCGTTACAACGCGGTAGACATGAATATCTTGTGTGAGACCCTTCGCATATTTGGCTGTACGAAGGCTTTGCAGACCTCACATGCCGTATCCACACAAGAACGACATCTAGTTTTGGCGTCAATAGAGGTCAGTCTGATGCGCTTCCGGTAGAAATCAAGGCTGCCTTCTCGATTCTCTCTCTTTCTCCTTATCGTGGAGGTTTAAAGCCCGTCCTCAAACAGTACCCATCTCTTAAGGGATTGTCTGCGCCTGGGGGAGACGAACAGAACCATTTGTTTTCGGTATCATTAGACAGCTCAACGCTCTTTTTGGAGCAGGCGAGAAAAATTTCCCATGCTATCGGTATCATTCGGGCGTTTAATGATTTGTATGTTTTTTTTAATAATTAACCGGCAAAAATCAAGCTTCTTTTCAAATCGGTCCATCCTCGCTGAAAGCTACGCATGTATTGATATTAGGACTTTAGGATCCTTTACCTGTGTTATCTTAAGTATGACATTGAGGCCTGAGTCGTTGGTAAACAAAATTAGGCCCAGTGAATTCGGTCAATTTAGTTCCGCCACTTCACAGCGACGCGGGTGGCAACTTGCGTGGAAATCCGGGATTACTTTTCGAATCCATTGTTCTTACATCATTGTTCTTAACGTAGAGCGTCTTTGACTTACCTAGATGGGCGGAGAAGGAAATACATTATTTGTACAAAAATTCCTTTGGGAGCACGCGACGGCCACCGACCACAGCCGCCACAATATCAACCCATTCCTTTTATTGATGCCCAAACAGGCAGGATGTATTGCGTTTGTAGACGTTTTAGTGGACGTCAAAAATCAACGGAACGAACATGCAATTTTTTTTCTACCGTAGTGTCCGGGCAGATTTTTGATGCGTGGTGGATCTGGATATACTATAGGGGGAAGGTTTGTAAAACAACAATTACTTCTGCTCAGTATATTCGGATAGGATGGTTTCAAGGTAGCCGCTTTCAACGCCAGACACTGACGAAGGAGCTTGGCGAATGGCTAGCACCTACGTTGGCACAACTAAACAGCGTGAAGTCGTGGATTGCTAGCCAATCGATGGCTCTGCTCGCTCAGTCCACTAGCTATTCGTGCTGTCATATTATCATGTATTGTCCCGTCGGTCGGTCGGGGTCGACGACTTCCCCTCGAAATTATGCGGTTCTGAGTTACTATTTATCGGAGTGCCACCCACCAATCCGTGATTTGAGCGGCAAGATGTTGATGTTGACCTGCAGCAAGTACGATCGGATAGCATACTGTTTTCTGGAAGTGCTATAATATCGTGCGCACGGGACCAGTGGAATTTATATCGAAGGTCCTTCTGCCGTTTCACAACCCCAACCCTCACTCCGCCGTAAAATTACGGCGGGCGCAACGGACTTGCTGTTATCCTCACCAGAATTAAGAGGTGGAGAGTCCTTAAAAATACGCCAACACAACCAATACTCCGACACGCTCCAACGATCACGGAGAGCTACAATTGGCGGTTAAGCGGAGGCAGTATCATAAGAGGTCGACTGAAGCCTAGATCGCGGACTCTAATCTGGTCATGTACTTAACATCAGGCTAATGAAGGCTACACTTTTATCACGGGTCGGTGCCTGAGCTCAAAGCCGGTTTGCTATCGATATTTAGACGCTAAGAAGCGAGCTCTTGTCACGCGGTCTCGTTTTGAAGCGCACCACAGCTTCACTGTTTTTTTCTAGTTCCGTTCTCGATGTATCTTTCGACCAGTACATCACCCAGGGACTCGGTCGCCAGGCTTATAGGTTACACATGAAAGCGATTAACCGGCCACTGTTGACTTATTTCACGTCTTGACGGCAGGGCTTTCATCGACGAATGGCACTGCGCTGTGCTACGACAATCTCCGCAGCGAGTGTGAAACCATAACCATGGCCTTTCTTTTTATCAACTCTGTACTGGGTATCGGGTAGCGATACGCTATCTAAACCTGCATCAAGCGGCGCCTCATGAGGACAACGGTCCTAAATAGGCACCAGCATATTAGGGATGTGTGGAGATAATGGGGCATCTCTCCGGAGAGAGCAAGATCTCTGCTGCCTTTTGGGTTATTTTCGTTTAGTACTGTGTTGGAAGATCATGTGCATTAAGTGTACATGAGCCGCCGCCATGAAGAGACAGTGACTGATTTACTGCGAAGGGTTGCCGTGTGCATGATCGAGGTCTGCTTCTAATTGTATTGATACAATTTATTCCCCATTCTACTCTGTTGTACACACGCGCGCATCTTGCTGTTTGTCAACATACTGGAACGATAAACGATCGTCTCGTCGACGTATCCAATTGTTTCTGGATGCCTGAGCCAGCAGGTAGGTCAACGGGATACCGTCTCATTTGATGACACTTCTTCCATACCGTTTTCAAGATGACTTAAACGTGGCCACTCAAGTATGGTAGGACATGTGACACATTCTAGCGACAATGTGCTAAACAAGGATCCGGGCATGTCGAAATGCAGTAGTCCCACGAGCAGAGACTATCGATATCCCTATAGTCAATGAAAAGTTGGTAGGACTCTTGCGTCTGCCGCCTTCGAACGATAGCGATCAGCGGCATCAAATTTCAGCGTCATCGATTACGGGATCAGTGCTTTATGGATGTATCAAGTTGATGGAACGCGAACCAATTGGGCTCCCGGTAATAACTGGCACATGCCAAGAAGAGTCTCTGGTCGTTTGGCGCTTACTCTTGGCTTAGGATATACCAGAGATCTTGCACATAGTTTTAGGTTATGGAAGTATATGTTCTAAATCTCTATCTCCAAGTGAAAATTTTTAACTTTTTACCTTTCGAAGTTTCTATTCCGACTATTAATGGATTGGATGTAACCTCTGCTAGTGTGACTACAATTTTGAGCGTCAGTACGGTCATGCGTCCTGAGATTGAGCGTAGATCTTGAGCCATCCCTCTTTTACCCTTTACTAAAGGATCAGTATCGGCGTTACTGCCTTCCCAGGATGGTGCTCATTCGGATCTACCACTTAGCCGAGGTTAATCTTCCACGGAATTCGCTAGTGGCTCGAAATCGTCAGTAGCGTGCGTTTATGCCGAGCTTTTTCGTCATGAATCTAATTTCAAGTCGACAGAAAGACCTGCTCCAATAGTCTCGTTCGACATCTCCAAACCGCCTGACCGAGCCGTATTTAAGATAATTTATCTTTACGACGATGGGGCGGGCCGCGACCGTTTTGTACGGACTTTGCTTGAGCTTTGTCCGGGTGAAGCAGAAGTGTTTTCGTACTCAGTAAAGTTGGAATTGTGCCCTTTAATTACTAAGATAAGAATCTTAAATTGTCGCCTCATTTTTAAAGCGACCACGGTAATAAATTAATTGCAGAGTAACTTCGATGTGGTTCAATATGTGCTGTTGAACGCACTTTGCAAGGTGGACTTTGATTGGGGAATAGTCGCTAGATGTGAAGAGGTCTTTAACGGGATAGAAGGTGACTACCTTAGGTCACCAGGCCCAATTTAAGTTTACAAGTGTGCTGGACACTTGCCACTATGTTCATGAGTTTCGCATACCTTGTTCAATTATTTCAGAGACTTTATTTGCTCTCCTCCGCTCGCGAAGTGCCTCACCATTTGATTGTTTTCACCTCGGCGATAGTCACAGAAATGCACTTTGGGGCCAGGTTTGCATACACTTTTGCTCTAGATTACGTACAACATATCTCGAAGTTGACGGCGAGGCGGTTGACCAGTTTCTGTTATGCGGATCTATTATTCCAGTGAATTACCAGGAATCTCTAATATCCGTTCCCAATCACCCTACATCCATTAATACCGGCTCGTTAACTACTTGACTCCTCTGGTACCCAAAGTTACCAGGGGAGGTCGATTGGTCATGCTATCGGCTATAATGCTAGCACTCGTGGTGTTTACAGGTCTGTCAAAGGAACCAAATATGCTATAAGATCCGATTCATCCATAGAGACCGCCACTCCGAAGCAGATTGTTTATCCAGGTGGAACCATATCTGCGTCGATGATTTATCATACTTTGGTGTGCTCATGAGATGGCTCTGCAACTACAACGACTCACTACTGAGTATAAGTTGTAGCTTCCTGGAAATATTAAGTGCCTTCATACCCGAAAGTATCATGCTACTGCCTGGTCATAGTGCACGCCTAATTTTTATGAATTTTTGGTAGATGGATTAGCTTGATGATAATGAAGCAATGGCTGATGACGACTATTCTGCTGGTTAGATTTGGATTGTCCTTAACGTGTATCATCACAGGAAAATGATGTGGAGGTCGCTGCCAGATGTGCAAAATTGTTAAACTTTAACGAATAATGACCAGTGCTAATTCTGACCAGACTGTCGGTCACCTATGGGTTTAAGCTATCTCGGACATCTATCTTCAGCCGTCGCGTAAAGAAACACCAAAACTTTATATTAGCACGAGTCTTGCACGCTTTCATGGCTCTGTTTGTTCTACCATTGACACGTTTACGCTTCTCAAGACAATCCTCGATAATCCTGGTACCATTCGGACAGTTTTGCCGACTTAATGCAATCGAAGCCCGGACGTGGTGTACTTAAAGACCTCATTGACCTTCATTAAGCGAAACTTCTTGTTCAGGCTGCAGACCCTAATTTCTTGAGGCTTTCTTGGTTGGCTTTTGAGGCTTTCAACTTTCTTTATGATAGAAGTCAACTTGAGCAGACACCCGAGCAATGTGCTGCTTACAAGGCAACAATCACAATGATTTGGTTGAAAAAGTCTGTATGCTTGCGTTCTTCAAATCACTTCTTTTTTTTAAACTCCAACGATCTTGCGGATTTACGGTTGGTTATCGGTTGGTTGCGGCTTAGTCCTAAATAATGGATTTAAACGGACCCAATGCGACTGATCTCGGTTTATGGGCTTTAGTCTCTTCATTATTCGATACTTGGTGAGTGCATTACTAACCACTAAGTTTTAATACGAATTTTGTGGAACGGTCGTCCTCTCTCTGACTCGACTGCGAGCTTTGGTTTTGACTGCTGATGCTAAAATTACTACACTTCGACCCGTTTTCACGTCAGGTGTGGTTAAAGTGGCAGTAGGAACCCTGAAATTTATTGTTCCTCGTTGCACTCCCAGAAACTATAAAGTGCTCAGGGAATTTATCTTGGTCTGAGGTTCGGTTGCTCTCGGCAATATGTAATGGTGTCAAGCATATCTATCACGTCACAATTAAGTTTCATGTCGTCCCCTATGACCTTGTGTGCTTTTAGGAGAAAAGTTACACGGTGCATTCCATCGGACCGATAATATGTACCATGACTCTTCGCAGAGCCACCATTGCTGCTTTTATTGTGACTTAAACCTTCCGGTCTATTAAGGTCAGGCACCTTTTTGCTGGTGTGATGACTTTAATTTTCTCTCGGTTTCTGGTACGTATTTGGCCCATTTTATTATTTCATAGATCACCCCCGACTGAACCTTATTATATCTACACGCGTCGTAAAGGGGGTTAATTTACTGCCATCACAGCGTTTTTGCACCTTGTAATAGTCACGGATAGACGGCATTTACATGGATCAAGCCAGCCAAAGTTACATTGAGGGTACTCGGCATTTGTTTTAGGTATTATAAATACGCCTTAGAATGCTTTGAATGACGGCAGTCCAGGTGAGGTGCACGACTGTAAAGTCAGACCATATTGATTTTTTAGTTGGGTTAACTCGGCGTCAAAAAGCTTGTCGTCGTCAAGAACTTGATGAAAAAAACATGGTGACCCTACACTGCGTAATAATTGCCTTGACAATATTAATTTGATGATACGATTTCGGACGATCACTATTCAGCTGCCTAGTACTATGGTTGTAAACATGGTGGCAATCACATTCTTCATCGAGTGCATCTTATAACACGCAATTAGACCGTATGTATAGTCGCTGGCGATTACTCTCAAACTTTTGGAATACATCGATATCGTGGCTGCCATTGAGCATGAGGCGTCCGACGTGGATGTCATCATTCGTACGGCATCTGATCCTGGGTACTTCTCGGACGAGTGAAAGTACAATTCCTGTAAAGCTATAGAAATTTAATGAATTGAGGCTTCGTCGAGATCGCACCCGTGGAATTCGTAAGACTCGTTCATCAGCTTACTATGCTAATGATATATCTTTTTCTACGCGAAGATCGGACTTCATGCTGCAGCTTGTGCGATCACGCACCGTCTTGGACTTTCAACATCGCTAATATCGAGAACTCAACCAGGATGTCGGATTCGACACACGTGCCACTCAGATGAAGCATTCGATACGTCGTTGTTTTCGGCCTCAACGCTCGGATCTTCGTCGTTTACCAATTGCGACTGCTATTTGTTCTGATGGAAGATAGGATACAAAATTTAGCTATAATTGCTGGAGAAAGATACTTTGCCAACACTGTGGTGAGGCTTTGATTGATCCCGAATGCTCACTTTGTTCTCTGGAAGTTACCTGTATCACAAAACCATTTTAAAAGCATTGTACAGAGTCGTTTGCTTTCTTTTCAATTGTGTGGACAATGAAGAAGAAATTGCCGCCGTAGAGCTCGCTCTGAATATTCGGCACCTCCGACACTCGTAAGCACGAGGTCCTGACAGTCCAAATACAGAATTTTGCAACATTACCTCAACCTTTTAAGTAGGTTCTCGTTATTGTGTTTCGCTACCGATTTTTAGTGGTAAACTCGTCCCGTCTCAACGTAAAGAGGATGTGCTACACAATACAGGTTTTAGGTCTGACCCTGGAAATTACCGACATATCTCTATAATGCAAGTCAATGTCACGGTTGTGACAAACATGTTAACTTATTGGATGCGCCGACCAATTCCGCAGCTTATTTAATTGGACTAAAGGATTTCATTTCGGGTTGGTCTTCGCGCTAGAATGTCTGTTTCTTTAGTGTTCTGTAGCACTTTTTACGGGCTCTTAAAGCGATGGGCTTCCAGTAATTCCATAAATTTACGAAGGCTAATGACAGGGTGGATTTGACGCATATGTTTCAGACTTTTACGGATGGTAAGTTGTGCTCGTTTTTGCTCGTGAATTATAGACCTCTACAGGAACCTATGAGAAAAGTATTCACACTTCAATGAAGGTGACAAAGTATCGGCTGCCACATAAGTTAGATGCTGCAATGAAACAAAAAATCGCTATGGAAGACTTGCAGCATAATCTTTGCACGCTCTGGAGACTTTGACATAAACACCGACTCGCGTTTGTTTACTAAGATCACACCATTTACACTTCTCCTTGTGCTGCACAGAGCTGGTGTGCATACCGATGCCGTAGCCATTCTCGACATTGAACTCTCGGCCGCCATGGCCAATGTGGCCAAGTTGGAAGTGACAGAGGTACGAACTGGTGATCCCATTGTAACGTGAGAAGCTAAAAATCTGCCTCGTCTGGCATGAGCGGGGTCATGCATAATTTGGACGCAGCCGCCATTTAAACTATTCACCTGAATAAAACACCCGTCACTAATAAATGTGAAGGGTCCAAAGTCCTTCGTTAATTGCTGTACAGAGAACAGGTTGCAATAAATTTTGGGAATGCCACTCACCAGAAAGCACGCTTTACTTGCGCTATGTTGGTTCCTCATTAAAATAACCATGTCGCCATTTCCCACTGTTTGTATCGCACCGTCGTCCACGGAATGCACGTTCGCTGGCGAGATCTTGTGGCAGTTCTTCATGCACTCTTTCGAGAACTCCACGTGCTGAATCGCAGATGAGTTGAACATCCACGCTTCACTCAGCTTAATGTCACCCTCCATCGGCTGCAACACAGGAAATTGCCGAGTATTCTACAACCTGCACAACGCTTGATCTTTTCGATATCTGCCGCTCCGCATTCTTGCAACCAAATGTCCTTGCGGGCCACAGTTTTGATAAGCACTGGCCTTCTGCATAGACCGTCCTCCTCTTCGCTTACTACGATCGATTATCATATAAAAAATATTTTGACCGTGCGCGGACCGTCTACGCTTGATCTTTGCTCTTCATACCTTCACGCATCAGTCGAGACGTCATAGGTTCTCACGACAGCGCGCCGGAACGTGACTTTAACACCGTGATCAGAAACTGATTAAACTCTCTTATGCTACCGAGAAGCGTGATTACCAATCCATCCTAGCTGAACGGAGCACTGACCACATCGATATCCTTTTACAGAGTCTTTATCTTGCTGATGCGCTACAGTACATCACACCTTTATCAAGCATAGTCATGAAAAAGCGTCGCACGAAGATATGTCTTCTTTACAAGCTCTTCCTCTTGTATTGTCCTTTCGATCGTTTTAATGTATCGTACGAGCCAATCGCTGAAATTACAAACGGCTAATTTAATTTTTTATAGTGAGACAGATGATCGTCATTAAATTGCACGACTTCCTTTTGAAGGATCAAGCGGTACCTATTTGTCTACGTTTAAGCAGATGCATTATGATGTCACCGTCGGTGGTGCTGACAGTGTTGGGAGGGCACAGCCGACAATATACGACATGGAGGACTTTGAGCCAACGGTGTCAAAGCGGAGTGTGTCGGGTGTGTCGTGAACGTCGCTTGATCCATCGCGTTAGTGCACTTTCCTATCTTGACCTCTCCGGTTGTAGATTCCCACAAGATGCACTCCTTCAGCATCATCTGCATCTGAAAGATCCATGTGAGGAAGTTATTCTCTTGTAAATTGTTGATGCGGGCGGTCTTGGGTTGAGGTGGCGTTTATGGCTCGTAGTATTCAATGAGTACACATGACTTGGTCCCATAATCGAAAGGCAAAAACAGTAAGTATTAATATTAAAATCAAATTGATGTATTTAGATCCTTGATTTAAAAGCTATATACTTTTTCCGCTTTTATTTTCTCGCCCTACGCAAAAATCGTACCTAAGCCGCAAAAGCAGCTCTATAGCGTCTACATTGACCCGATCGAAAAGAAAAACTTTACTTATTACATGCTATTAGTATCGAACAGTTTAAACCTGTCAAACACGGACTCCAAGGCGTCGAATGCCGAGCGCACGGCTCATTTCGTGCATAAGGAAAAACTCGAGAAGAATAATTATGGACTGACAGAAACTAACATGCCGTGTCGATACTTTTCGATCGATCATTCTACTGCGTCTGTACGCTTTAGAGTAAATCCACGATGGGCCTTACGATCAGCATGAATTGCTTTTTACACACACTCAAAAACACTTACTAACTTCGCTATTTTGTGTCGACCAATTAGCGCATAAAAACAAATGGATGACTTTTTACAGGATGGTTTACAAGACAAGTGTATGTTCTCGTTGACGGAAACGTGCCTGTGCTTTTAAACAAGCGTGATGGACGAAAAAAAGCGGTCAAAATTTCTTCCGGAAACGCCACTGGATGCACTCAAGAGTCAATACGTTACGAATGTGTAGGAGTCAAAAGAGACGCCTGTCTGGTGGACGAACCTGCTAAAACAAATGGACCAGAGTATAGTCCAGCAGATACACTCTAAAATTCCATATGCTTGTTTACTTAATTTCTTAGCTACTTTCATTAATGTCCTCGACTTGTTCCTCGCTTGCGCTGTTCCCCAGTGCACTTTTGTGTGCTAAATTCTTACGAAGAAATGAAACATGCAGTGCATGCTCGGCGTCTTTACCCATTTTCCTTGCAGAGGAGAGTAAACTGGTGCCCAGACGAGTCCACCATTTCGGAAAAATCGTTCAGCGTGATAACATGCGTAAAGACTAGTTAATTTTCAATTGAAAACGAGATTGAGGTTGTTGTTATGGGCATGCATATGGGAGGATCAGGTACGTGTTGAAGCGACACAGCGCTTTCAGACCTAGCGCGAGCGGTAGAATCGATTGAGTAAGGCTTAAAGGATGACATTATGTATCAAGTAGTACGCGGCGACTAGGTCCACTGGCAAATTAGGCCAAGTGTTTAAATTGTCAGAAACTTGTGTGACTTATGTATATTGTTTGCGTAGGGCGGGTAAAATATAGGCGGGAAATGTAAATAGCTTCCTTAGTTTGCAATCTATGTTTCTACTCTAAGACTAGCATATTCCACAACTAAACATTAGGAATCGCCACTTTGCGCATTACTGAGCTTGCAGTTGTGCATTCGTAATAACACATCGCGCTTTACTGATCGTACATTTGCGCATTATTAGTAGACACTTTTCTCGTACTGATTGTCTAAATCTGCCGTTCGGTTACCACTTTCTGACCGAGGCGCTTCTTCAACAACATCATAAACCCACCAATAGCCGTTGGACGCGCACAATGGGTGGTGAACTAGACGTCAACATGCATAGATCTGGTCAATTTTATGAAGTTTGGAACAAACACTATGCATTTCGATTAGCATATCGTTATATATGCACACTTTAATATTCCCTTCCACTAGGTTAGCCGTCTAGTACTGTAGGCTTTCTGCATATCTGCACTTCTCATGCGTCATAGTACGAACTGCCCAACTTAAACTGAATTTAGCAAAAGTAGATTGTGCTTTTTCAGTACAAGCTTAAGGTGCCCCGTTACATTTCGACAAAACTGTAGATGGTTTCAACTGACGAAATCTTCTGAGCAAGTTGTTACCTGACACGTTTTCACTACAAGTTGTAGGTGGCGATAGTGGAAAATTGCTTGGGCGAATAAATACCGCTTTGATCCTGTCTGTAGTAGTTTATCAAATGATAGCTTGTTGTTCCAATATTTGGCGCCATTGGTGAACGTGAATAACGTTTGCTCCTGATTGAGTTTAGCGAAGTGCTTAATCTCTTTTTTTGCGGTTGAGATCGTGTTTTGTTGTTTTGTACGAACTGCTGTGTCACAACGCTTCCACAGAACAAATACTTATGTATTGTTCTTCAACGCTTCCAAGCCTAGGTTTTTAGAACCTTGGAGACTTTTTAAAGGGTAAGGTGTTACCATGAAGACAAATTCGATATTCCTTTTGCATATGCGTTTGACAAACGATTTCATGGAGATCGTTTTATTGTGTAGAACTGTTCTCACACGATCATGTTGTCGATGAAAATTGAAAATCGCTCAATTGTGCCCAAGTATGGCTATGCAACTATGCACCACAAACCAAGTTAAGCGCTCAAGTAAATCTTCTGTCTAAAAGTCTTTTCACTTTCGGGATGACACGCAGAGATAATTGAACGCTTCCTTTAGTATCTCGGTTTCTGCCCACGTATCCATATTGTAATAAATTTAACATTGTCTGGAATTGGCATGACTTCGAAGACGACCCGGAAATTTCAAAGGTTATTTCTGCTTTAATACGTGGCCTGTGGACAAGTCGCATGAAAATAAATTAATTTCCATCGTACAGGCTTGCTTACGTACACCTTGAGGGTCAAAGATTCAGTTTAACCGGTCCCTTGACCGGTTAAATCACATCCGGTGTCTATTAAAGCAAAACCACACGTTCTTTTCAATTTATCACTAAAATCGAGGTATTCAACTTATGGGATGTTATGGAGGCATCGCTGATATATTGTGACGGACAACCTGGCAATAAGTATACTTTTCGCTTGCACCTGGGGCAAGTCAATTTCTTCTCCTCGCAAAATTCGTCGTCCTTTTTTCCACGAATATGCGCGTCTTTCAGGCCAGTATATACTTCTCCATAGCTTCGTCGAAACTGTTGTATTTTTGAAGCTTGGACTAGCGTCATTCGCTTGAAAAGGATAGTGATTATTACTAGACAAGATAGTAACTACAAATATGAAGCTGTTTCGATCGTTTAGCTGAAAGTAATTGGACTTATATCCCTAAGTGTGTGCAATATCTTATAGAGTAATCCATTATGAAAATAAACGCTAGTCAAAGTCTGCGGTAGGCAATTCTGCTCATGTCATTAGATCTGGGAATTGAGATACATGCTCTATAATAGAGCCATGCTGCTTTAATGGAACCAATTGAGCTCAAAAGGGTTATTGAAGTCTCAAGGTGTAAGAGCTTACACCTCTTTTATGTAAACTTTTGCTACGTTTTTTGTACACCTAGTGCCTCACAATCTGTCACGAAGTGGTACGATATTATTTATGATTCGATGTCCCCACTTTTTGCTCAGTATCAGGGCCGTTAAAAATTCTGATCGATCGTTTGTCATGAGATGCTGCTTGCTCAAGTAGTACTTGATAGTCATAACGACTCACTGCTCTGACCATTAATTGAAATTTGCTTTACATGGAGGCAAATGTTTCTTTTTGTTAAACCGCGTATTAATTGAGATCGGCCTTCAATACTTATTTGACATGAGTTTGTGATGAATGTATGTAGCTTGCAACTGGTCATGGGTTGATTAATCTGCTGGTGTATCAGTATAACCAAGCTCTGCCGAGAATTGAATTACATGGAAGAAACCTTGTCGAAAACCTGGTAACGAAGATTATTTCGGTGTTGATTATGAAGGGTGCGGTGCAGCGTTATTCTAGTGCTTGGTAGACGATGCCTACGTTTCAAGCCCATATAATTGCTGAGAAATGGACCACGTTCTTGTTGTGCGTGAGTTCCAGATAAATCTGTAGCGGAGATGCACCCATCTCAAATTTAAGGCATATTTTGGCTTACAGCCACTTAGTCCAAAACGAACTGAAATAAACATTAGAAATACCAGGTAAGACTGCTTAGGGAACAAGCAGAATTTTGACAGATACAAGATAACTAGAAGCACAAGGTGTCAGAGAACAAGTCTGTACAGACTTAATTTCCTTTGCTTAAGAAAATTATATCGGCCTTTATGTAATCTATCTACAGTAATAATAATTTCCAAACACCA